TTAACGTTATCAGGAAATTATTTGAACAACAGAAGAGTTATGATTAATATGCTAGAGAAGTTAGGAAGTGAAAGAAAAAAGTAAAGGCGCGTGGCGTTTGAAGAAAATTAGGTCGAGTTTTTCGATCCTCCCTCGTCACACGAGGAGAACTTAAATTCCCTTTGTTCGTATCGTTCACTGGCCGCAGCTTTACGAGCTTCTTTGTGCTCCCTTTTGAATCTCCGCTCCTACATCTGTTTCCAATGACGCAATTTTCGTCTGTCCCTTCGCGTTTTTAAAGCGCCCCGGAAACGCACGCTTCCATCTGCTATTGCCTCGTCATTCGACGTGTTCAATAATTAATCACACTTGGCGAAACATTTTCGACCGTTTTTGCTTCGTGACCACTTTTTCTCTGCATAGTTAGCTTTTATAATCTTTTCTGAGACGTCTCTTCGTTGTAATGGGACACGAAGTTGAATAATACACTCGTAAGATGATATATAAAAAGCTTCTAAATGTGTGGGAAATATCATACAGTGTAACATTAGAAAAAAGTTATTTTAGGAAAAGTGATATTTAACACGTCTGCTGCTATATACCCCTTTTAACGTGCTCCTAATAAATCCGTTGGATCAGTGAGTCGCGATATTGACGGTAATTAAATTTTCACTGTATAGCCAATTAAGCTTCCATTGGAGAAAGGCTCTCTATCCTTGTAGCTTTATCGCGAACAAGAAAATAAAAAAAAGTAGTAAAGAAAAAACGTTTGCTTTACCGGTTGGTGGTTGCGAAAACACGATAAAACTGTTCGATGTAATATAACGGGTTACGCGAGTTACTCTCGTAATCGTTGCCGCCTCGAAAATTGCTAGCGGAAGAAATGGAACGAATTTTCTCGATAAACGTGATCCGCGAATATTACATGTCACGTATGCGTCACGAGCTGTTTTTCATGAACGCCACATTCGTAACTGGCTGTGACGTGCTGTTACGTTATCTTTTTCATATATTTGTAAAAGTAAATAAATTCCATTTATACATTTTTCATTTTCCTATCAGAATTGAAAGGTATAATTAATTATTCCATATTAAACGCACATGGTGCGTTATCGTTTGGACAGTACAAAACGCACATGATGCGTCATTATACGGATAGTATAGGGCGCACCAGGTGCGTCGTTGGTTTGGAACACGTTTACACGTGCGTACGAACGCCCACGTAGCCGGCATTAACCGGGGATATTTTTGTCAGTTAATCTCGTTTGTCGTGCACACGCGAGCGAGCTAGCGAGTTTCTTTTGGCGACGGTGACGACGACACGGAGCAACAATACGCTTTTCCTCTCGCGTTTCCCTTGAAGAGGTACGAAAGCGAGAGAAGACCGGTCTCGCGATTATAATTAGAGGCTTGCATATCGTCGATCGCGACATCGCTATTTGTGTTGCACGTTTAAGCCCGCCTATTTACGTTGTTCGTCTAATGAGCTTTCGTTCGGATACTCGCAACGATCGTATTCTTGGTTTATACGGCCTTTAGACGTTCATTTTTGATGGAATAGGAAAATATTTTACAGCCTCAGGTGTATGTATGCTTAGGAGGATTTATCACCGATTGAACGGTAATGATTCTATGAACATCTGGCAACGACGCTTTCAAAGAGAACTTGGATTATTTAACGATGATTTGCGTTTTATTAACACTTTGTTGCTCGTGGTTCAGTCATTTATCTGATTTTATCATTCTTTTGAAATTAGAAACGAATCTATTTGTAGGTGTCGATATAAATGGTGATTATCTTTTTATTTCATTCTTTACTTCATTTCTCTCAAATATAATTTTACATTAAATTAACACGTAAAATTACACGAGTCATAGATTCGATGAAACGTAATTAAGAGGATAAGATTCAATACATTTGCCTGAGATATCGTTTATTGTTCGAAACTGCGATAAGCGTAAAAGAAATTATAAACATCTGTATCAGAGCATACGTCATCGGCTACGAATATATTTATAGTATCGATCGAATTGACCAGTAAAGCCTTGATGTTTACTTCGATTTTACAGTATAATAAATGACGAATGTTCTCGTTCGTCGTAGCTTTCAAAAATCAACGAAAGATGTGTGTGGCAATAAGGAGGCATTAATGGCCCCTTTATCCAGGTTGCATTTAGCTTCCCGATAAGGTTGTTCGACTTATCGTTACCTTCGAATTCTGGTATCTCGGAAAGGAGGTCGGGCGCAGAAAAGGCATTGAAATTTCCTAACGATCGGATCGAAATCGTTTCTCTAAACGAGATCGTCATCACTGTCAAGGATAATGTCGTTTTAACAACCAATGGAAAAACACATGGAAAACACCATATGGCGTGGGCCGAAAATATCGTTCAGGAGGGTGGATCGTTTGTTTGGATATCGCGGGTGGAAAACAAGGAGAGCAAGGATTGTCGCGCGTCCACGGGAAAATTCCGTTCGTAATACAGGAATGGAGAGGAGGGACATAGGAAGAAGGAAGACGAAGCGTTCTGGTGAAACAGCAAAGACCCCAGAAGAAGACGCGCGAGCCTCGCCACCAAGTCTCGGAGAGTTGGGCTCGTTGCCAGAAGCTTTTGCCAAAAGAAAAAGAGTTCTCGGAAGAAGGAGCCTGCTCTCTCGCGTGCTGGCCACGGTTTTCGAGGGCTTCGCCGGGACAATCCGACGAGAGGGATCTTGCCAAATCCCGCGTACGGGTTAATTGAGTAATGCATTTTGTCGTTGATGACGCGTTTCGGTATTTTTAAGTCACCGAGCCAGCTGATCGTCTCTGACCACGTTTCGCATTTCATTCTTTTCCCATCAACTTCGATCGATCTCCGATGAAACATTCTTTCTAATTGTCCAATTTCGGTATTCGAATCGATGGTCCACCAATTCCCGCCAAATTTTGTTTACCCGTCTTTTCGTATCACCATGGACAGCGATTGATCATTTTCATCGAGGATCGACTCGTTATCGAGAAAGTTCGACCAGATGATGACCATGGAAATAAAATACCGATAAGCCGTCCGTCGTGTCACTTTGAAGTTGAAACGTACGGAGTTCCGATGACTAACAATAAGTCCACCCTACTTTCATCTTATCGGTTTCTGTTTCTTATTTTTTTCTATCCTAAATACCTCGGTGGTTAGGTGGCGACTTTTATTTTATTATACGAAGAAACGCGTCCACTTTGGAGAAACTGTAATATAGAGCGATAGTTTATGCACGAGCGAACGGTAGCACGTGTTTCAGTCTCGCGATCGTTATCATGCAGGATCAATATTAATTCCACGTTTAGTCCCGGGCATTTCGTAATACGTTATTAGATAATGTCTCTCCATTTCCATATAAATTCGCAGATAAGCGATTTCGAACGATGAACGTCGTTAAAAGCTCGTCATTGAAAAGTCGCGCGTTCGAGAGTGTAAGCTTTATTTTCGTGGAAACGTTCAAGTTAGCCTCGCACGTTCGCTCGCTGTTGGGAAACTTGTCTACCGACAAGATTAACAGACGCGGCGAACGGTTGTGGGGTTTCGTCACACACCAGTCCCTTTGATATTTTTGATCGTCGCGTCGGAAGGTTGGTTCACGAGCGAAGCGCTTCACCCACGCCCCTAATCCTGCTCCGCCGTCGTTGACGGATCGACCAGAAGAAAATTGATATTCCCGGCGCGGCGAAAGCTACAGTCCGAGTGAAATGCCTTTCCCGTTTAATTTGTACGCACGGGTCGTCGACCTGCCACAAGGTAACTGTTCTCATTAATATTGTGCTCGTAGAGTTGCGCGATCGTGTCTGAACGCTGCCTCGCTGTCCGCGATCGAAGGAAAACAATATCGATTGAAAAGTAACTTCGAAACTTCGTCCTTATTTTTTTGTCAATTTCGATTGAACAAATTTTGATTAAATTGCCATCAAAAATCATTCTTAGGACAGTGATAATAGTAGCTAGATATTATTATTTACCTACATAGGCAACGGGTCAAAGGAAGACTTGGAACAAAGGTTCCGAGACTAATTACAGTTCTAAATCTCGTCTATCCAAGAAACTATTATTGTTGTATTTCTTCAAAGCTGGTGCCCTCTTAGATATTATCTTTAACCAATAAATCTATCCGTCCGCTATTAGTCAGACGTTGAAGAAATTCGTTGGCTCTTAAAGCCACCGTTCCGTGAGAACTTCCTGTAGTTGGTCGTTCAAATTACACCAGTCGTTACGGGAGAAAATATCAAGTCAGAGGGAAGATAAAAAAGCAAATGAAGGAGACACACGTTTGAAACACATATAACCAGTGGTAGGAGTTAGTCCCCTTTACCAAAGAGTCGGAAAGGGTGTTCCTCGTACGGCCGCTATGTTAGGATTCTAAGTTTAGAGACGTTCCGCAAGCGACCGTTCCTCGTCACTGATACGTCTATCAGCCTGATGACTTTCCATCGTAATATTTCCACGCTATAATACGTAATAACCATTAACACAGTTACTATCAGAGTTGAAACAGAATCGTTTCTCGGGATGATGCAACTCGAACACCTGATTTCGAGGATCGCTTTCGAGTGACCCTGTTTTCTCTGTCTCGGCGACTATGTCATTAACGCGATTAATACGATCCATTTCGACAACGTATCGCTTTGGGCCGCGGCACGATAATGAGCGTTTATGAAATTAGCATCGGAAGAACAGGAGTCATTATTGGAAATCGCCATTGTCGCCTGTTTTTCTTCTCCAGTCATTTCGAAAACTTATTGTTAGTCCAGACCTACAGCTATTTAGAATCAATCTCCTACACCAGATTTATACTTAGAAATTTTCATTAGTTTATACGGTTTATTCCTGTTTAGTAAATAAATAAAAAATAAATTAGTGTAAGTTAGAGATTCTGCTGTTAAGTAAAACACTAACCTTGTCGATCAAGTACACTGTTCCCTGAAATTGAATCCATTTGTTTCCTGGTGTTAATACAATTTGGCTAATCACTCTTCCCTATGTTTTTCTCGTTACAGACTCATATTCTGTTGATGGATGCGTTCCTCCAGAACAACAGGCTGGATCATGTCTCCAGGGTGATGGCCTCGCATCCCTCGTACTTGGAACACTTCCTCCGTACCCAACATTTCATCCTGAGGGGCGATGGACCGCTTCCTTACGACTACAGGCATCTTATCGCCATTATGGTGAGTGCACGGCCGCTTTTTCTCTTTATCTAATACGCCGTAATGGCTGCTAGTTTTTCCGTCTTGCGATAAATACCAGCTGGCTGTCATGGAAAACGGTAAAATTCTTTGCTGACAGCGGACCTTTTCGCTATTTTATCTGCCAGCTGGCTAACGGTTATTAATTTGCAATAAATGAAATTGAATTAAGGTTGCCGCAAGAAGTTTCAATGTTCAACACGTTGGATGCAATTTTTATTTCTTCGAAAAGATGAGCAATTGAGTTGCGCTCGACGGCCTAAAATAAGAAAAACCGTGATTATTTTTGATAGATGTTGTTTTCCACGTGCAATATCGAGCGAGCGTTAATTTTGAAGCTGAAACACGATTATCGTCGGTCAGAGAAACGCAAGAAGCATTCTTTTTCCTACCGATTATCGTCACGGTTCCTTTTCTCCAGTTACTCGCTCGTCCCTCGGCCGTGTCGCACGGGTCGTTGGGCCAAAGATTATCAGGAAACCGAGTAAGTGCAACGGGTTTCGTAACGACACGTTCTTCGTCATGGAATCGCCTGTTCGTGAAAAATAATTACCGGAAAATTAACTGATAATCAGAGGGATCGCGATGAATCTATTGTAAATGAAATTGGGTCGGTTAATAGGGGGTGGGGTGGCTGCACTTACAAGGTCGGTAAACAGGATATTATATCGAGGCTACGACTTCCTGGTATGAAAGATACCGAACGATGATAGGAAGTCGTAACAAGCTTCTCGCGATCTCCAATTATGAGCAGACAATTTGGTAATTGGATCGCGTAATCATTTATGATCATTGTCACTGAACCCTTTCGTTATGGACGGGTTTCTTTTCCGCTGCTGGGTCGGATATTCAATGTTAATTGAATAATTTCTACAATTTTGGAAATACAGTTCTCCAACAAAAGGGTTAATAAAATTGATCTGTTTGAAAAGTCATATGTCGTGGTAGAAGATAACGAGACTCCTGACGCGTTGCCAGTCGATGGACGAAATATCTTCCTTTTCAAACGATCGGCCGAAAACGCTTTATCGAGGGTGATAAAAGCACGAAGAGAGGTGGGGCGAGGCTAGAAAGCATCGAGTTGACGAAGAACGGACGGAAGAGAATGATTGCCGCTTGGTACACGGTGGGGTTCGATAAAACGATAAGATATCTGGAAAAACAGCTTTTCTACCGGTAAACATACTAACTTGTGTGCAAGGCATGCACGCTCCCCTCTTGCGCTGTTTACGACTTTGGCTGGATTGAGATTCGCGGATCGTACCGCAATTTCTCGTATCAGGGAAAACAGGTGTTTGTCACGTTTCTTGTAAAGGATAGCGATTTTTTACTAAGTCACACGTGGCACACCTATCGTCACCTGCTCTTTCGAATTCGAAATTACATATCTCAGTGTTATTTTCGACGTGTTGCCACCTATCATTCAAAGGGAGAAAGAAATACTTTCAGAATTTCATTAAGAAATTTTTTTCGATTGCATTCAATTAAAAATTCATTCGCTGTATGGATGTTCATTAGAATTTCTCTTTTCCAAATTTTTGCTTTTTAAAAATATACAATTGTAAATCGTCTAAGTACATTGTTACAATAAGACTCGTTGTCAGTGAAAAACAAAAGGAAAGGAGATACAGAAAACTGATTATGTACATACAATCAGATTCTCATAGGTATGCATACCACATTTTCCATCGTTCGTGTTCTCCTTGTTTTCCCCGTTTCTTCTGTACGTCTACCAGCACATTTCGTTCTATCCTTCTTTTTCTAATGCCATCCAGAGGGTTCGTTCTCCATTTTAGTAGTCCGCGTGTTTGCAGACTTCTCTCTTATCGCTTATCACGACTCTCGAGTCGATCGATCTGCGGCCTCGCATGGTAAACACGTGTCTTGTTTACGCGCTTCATTTCTAATTCCCCCTCCATCATTTTCCCCTTTCTTCAACCTATTCTCCACCTCTTTCCGCCTACTTCTTGCCGGCATTTGAATTTCTGATGTAATTTCAACGACGTTCAAAACAAACCATTAAGAGGATCCCAGCAGTGTCGGGACTCCATCTTTTCCCGCGTTTTACGCTCCACTCCGTTCGCGATTAATTTCGGACTTAGTTTCGTTTCGTTTCGTTTCGTTTCATTCCACTATTCCGCTCGAACGGCTATGCTTTCTCTCGAACCGTGTTCCTTCGTTTCTACGTATTTTCCTCGAATATTCTTCCATTTTTCAGGAAGTGAAAACGCTTCGTTCAATTTCCGCCTCGATACGTTGCGTCGTTTCCGATTTGTCTCTTTTCTCTCTACCCCTTTTCTTTTTCGTCGATTGTTTACTCCATCGAGTACCGTTTAGCAAATTGCCACTGTATCGCTCGTGTTTGCTCATCGATGATATAATCTACTTGCGAGGTAAAAGACTACCGTTAGAAGACTTACGAACTTGCGTAACGGATTAAACGAAGCGATTTTCGGTTCGACGCTAGATTGCATAAGCGTTGTCGATTCTAAAGAGTTAGAAAATAATGAATTGAAAAGCTAGAAAATATTTACTGAGAGCGGTAATTTATTTAAAAGGGTTTAACGGTTTGTTTGCAGGCCGCTGGTAGGCATCAATGCAGCTATCTTATAAACCTACAGAAGGGAGAGTTCCTTCTTCAAGGCGGCGATCCGTCTTGGCTCCAAGGGTTGAAATCGATTCCAGGAAAATTGCAAGATCTCTATGAGATTAACAAGATCCTAGCCCATAGGCCGTGGCTATTGAACAAAACGCACATAGAGGTTCGTTATCTTCGAATCAAGATCTTTCCTTTCGACCATTAATTGTAAGATAATTTTAATAAATTGGTATTTTCAATTTACAGAAACTGACCAAAGGCGCGGACAGTTGGTCCTTAGCCGAAGTCGTTCACGCGATAGTTCTATTGGCCCACTTTCACTCCCTTTCGTCTTTCGTCTTTTCCTGCGGGATCAACGAGGAACTGGACAACGTAGCTGGACACCATTACAAAGAGAACGTCCAGGATAATAGCAATAATGTACCAACTGCCAAAGACAAGATTTCCAGTAGTCCCAAGAAGATTCCCAATGGCGATGGCAAGACTGGTAAGTTTCACGTTGAAATTCAAACATCAATATAATATTAATGATCCTAATTAAAGGATCCAATTTAAACGAATCCTATTCCTTATCATTACTAATGATTTCAGTAAATTAGCAACGCTTATTATTTTCATTTCCCGAGCAGTAAAATTGGTGATGGTTAAAAATCTCATCGACGCTATTAATATTCTTATAATTTGCTTAATTATTAAACCATACTTAATAATGTCCGAAGATATCGGTTTTATATCGAGTTTCTTCAGCATTGGAGCTTCATCAAAAGTCTAAGGACATTCTGATACTGAACTATTGAAATTAGGCCTTTCTCTTAGCTGCAATTTCATGAAACCAACACTCATTCATCATTCATACCGGACAGTACAATCGTCGTGTACATCGTGCTCATTGATCATCAATCAGCTGCTTTTTTAATTGGATAGATGATCAGCAGAGAACACGATGAACAAGTGCATCAGATTGGAATACGTGAGATCAGCAGGAGAACAGCAGATGACTGCGGGGACATAAAATACTGTTTGAGAACACGCAGGAATTTAGCAAAAGAGAGAGGGGTCTGTGTTAGGTATTTGAAATTTAATGGAAGATAAATTTGATGGATGCAATTAGTCTTGAGGGGTGTACGTTAAGGGTCAGGTATAGGATAGAGTACCTTGATTTGATGAAGCTGTGTAATGTTGATGAAACGTCAGGTTGAATTGAAGATCTTCCAATTTGAGTAGGATCTCTGCTAACAAGATACCATTGCAATCTGTGCAGAAAACATGCCGTCGCCACCGTCCTCACCGAGCATAGTCGGCGAGCAGGAGGTCGGCGTCGAAGCCCTCATGGAGCGTATGAAACGTTTATCAGAGAAGTCTGAATCGTATCAGATCACGCAGGAAGAACTGTCGAAGAGATTCGAAACTGTGGAGACACAGTCAGCGGAGCTGGCAGCTGCGCCGCAGAGGAGTAGCTCGGTCCTCGACTCTGACATTGGTCATTTCATCGAGGATCCCACCTTCATTTATCAGGACTTCGCCAAGGTAAGCTACACCGCGATAAATTCAACACCGCTGAGAATCGAGCTGGCGTTTACATTTTTCCAGAAGCCAGATTCGAAAGTGTATTTCAAGGCAACTCGCGAAGCTCGCCGATGAATATTTAAGTTCCATCGATTCGATTACCGTTTCCACCACGGTACCCATGAATATTTACGGTCGTTCGACACGTGTCTCGTCGAATCGAACGCGCTTAACCATACACGCTAACCCGATTAATTTCATTTAGAAGGAATCGTAGTAAAATCAAACTATAAATTTTCATCTTTCGTTGTTTCAGCGAGGCCAACTGAACGACATACCGACTTTCCGCGTGCAGGACTATTCTTGGGACGATCACGGTTACTCGTTGGTCAATCGTCTGTACAACGACGTTGGTAATCTGCTGGACGACAAATTCAAGACAGCCTACAATCTTACGTATTACACGATGGGCACGCACAGCAAAGTTGACACCTCCCGGTTCAGACGGGCCATCTGGAATTACATTCAATGTATGTTCGGCATCAGACACGACGATTACGATTACAACGAGGTGAATCAGCTGCTCGAACGAAGCCTCAAGACTTTTATAAAGAGCGCCGTCTGTTATCCGGAACGTGTCACCAAAAGGGATTACGATCGCGTCATGAGGGAGTTCAAGCACAGCGAAAAGGTTGGTATAGCTATCCATTCGATTACTCAGACTGCACACGGTATCTTCTTACGTAGTCTGTTTATCGTTTCCCTCATTCTGCCCCGTCGATTTTTAACAAGATTACGTAATCGCGTACCAGTTACGTACCAGACTATTTGCATACAATTCCGCTATGTTTCTTCTTTTTTTTCTACACGTTTCCTCGTTTCACGTGTAATCATTTGGCTTTAATTACAGGTAGCTGAATTCATAAACATTGTATAATAATTCACTTATTTTTTAACGTAGCCACTGTAAATATTGAGACGCTTGTCATATCGTGGGATCAGATTAAGTGTCTTTCATTTTATGAATTTCCATCTTTCATGGTTTTTTTTAATTTTTATAAAGAGGTGAAGGACCAGGGTACTTTTCAAGGTTTTCAGACTTGTTATATTTCATCAGTATTATAATTAGCTTTGTAGGATTTATTTATCAAGGATCTGTTTTGTTCGTTTCAGGTCCACGTGAATCTGATGATCTTGGAGGCACGTATGCAAGCGGAGCTGTTGTACGCGCTCCGCGCTGTGATGCGATATATGACCTAAGCGAAGCCTGTCGTCGTCGCTCCTTCGTCTACTTGCTGTCTGTCAGTTTTATCGTCGGTTTATTTTATCGTGTAGCTCGCGCGCAACGAATTCGCGAGTCATCGTGGTCGTGGTCGTGATCGTCTCACGCGGACTCTGCATACATCAGACACAGAGAGGAAACGAACGAACGAACGCGACACCGATTCTCACGCAGCATATAATAACAAGAACCGTATTCTCACACGGTGGACACATATTCAATCAATATTCATACACAATCAATCAATAAATCCATCCATCCGTACATATAATACAGAAGGAGTTCGCGTTACCAATTATAAAACACCCGTATCGCGCGAGCGAGCGCGTCAACGAAGAAGAAAACCGGCCGAAAATATACGTTCGAGTGTCTCCTTTGATTCAAGACGATGCTGTTTGTTATTTCTCGACGACAGACATCTTTGCGACGAGTCGGCACGATCGATCGAACGGAGAAGAAGTTTGGAAACAAGGAAACGAGGCTGCGAGACGCGTGAATCATCGGACACGCGGAGGAATTTACAGAATTTCCAAAAGTTTCGCACCGTTCTTCTTATTGAACGCGTTTTCTTTTTTCACTTTCGACACCCCTGGCGGGGAGGAGAAGACACGCGAGAGAGAAAGAGAGACGGAAGTGGAATTAAGCATTGAAGATGGAAGAGAGAGAGAGAGAGAGAGAAAGAGAAAGAGAGAGAGATTTTCAACGTTTGTTTTGTAAATAGACACTCGTATTTTTCTATTTTTTGCGAGGATCGTAGTGAATTGTTATTTGCACGTTTCGTTAGCGTTTCAGATCTGTTACAGTTTTTACCAGTCCTCCTTCAAATATTTGCCCAACACTTGGTAATATAAAGCGAGTCGCTTTTTTAAATTGTATTTCCCTTTGGATTTATCCTTCGTATTTCGCATTCGTACAATAGACCGTGATATTAAACTTTGATCGCGACTTTTATTATTTCCTTCTTTCGTTCCGTTCTAAACGTTTTCCTTTTTGTCTATTGTTTGTGATCGCGTTGGATAATGAAAAAGCGCGGGCTTGTTTCGCGATTAGTTATCGATCAAAACTCGAGTTTTCGCTGTTGCTTATTTTTTTTTTTCCCCTATTGTATAACGAGACGATTTGCCGATGGCTGCAGTTAACGATAAATTAAGAAGTCTATTAATAAACGTTTACGATTCGAGATGACCGAAGTCGTTCAGTGATCTCGTTTTTTTCCTCGCTCGTCCTCTGGGTACGTTGGTCGACTAACGCGTTCAGGGGTCGAGGCTGGAACAGTACGAACGAATGTGAAGAAGAAAACTGTTGTCTTTCGCGCGCTATGGTCGCGATTCGCGCTGTACATAATTATAATACGGTTTTAACCTCGTTTATTTCATTGACTATCGCATCACGAGAAAAGTATGTAATTGTAAACGAAAGTGAGAAGAAGAAGAAAAGAAACAAAGTGTACCTTCGTTTCCATCGAGCGTACAGATGATTTCAAACGTTTAGATCGTAGGACGATCTGCGTGCGCGCACGATGCCCGCGCCCGTAGAGACGAGCAATTGCCCCGTCGGCTGTGTTTATTTTCTCGTTGGATCCGACCGAGAAATGGGAAGGTGGAAAACGAAAACGCGTCGCGCGCGATCGCTCTGCCCGTACGGCCAAATTTCTCTGTCTCTGTTGTAACCGGAAAGCAGGCGTCCTCGACGAGCTTACAAGCGAAAATTTTCTTTCGAATGTCACATGTACGCGGGGTGTAACGCGAACAAGTACCGACGGCTATGAAAAAGAAAGAAAAATTACGGCAAGGACCAAGAAGGGGCGAAGCGAATAAAAGAAATAATTGACGTAGAACCAAAAGAAAAGAAAAGTCGTGAAGCGGATTTTTTTTCCAAGAAGTTTATCAACGAATTTTTCCATGCCTTTCGTGTGTAGCATTATTTACCGTAACGAGGAGCTATTGAAACGGAAGGGCGCGAGTTAGAAACGCGTGAATCGGTTCGCTCCTTCCGACGACCAAAAAGATGGTTGGCAAAATGGTACAGTTGTACCTCGCGGCCGTAACGATGCGAGGTGGACAGAGAGAGGCTGTTTAAAATAAATCAAATCCATATTAAGTCGTTTAAGGTACACGAGGATGTTAGGTAACGCGTGGCACAAAATAAAATTAAAAAAAAAAAAAATAAAAAAATAAAAATAAAAAAATACAAAATGAATAACAAATACTAATGAACAGAGAAGAGAGAAGACAAAGCTATACATCGCGAATTACACGTGTCTGTGATCGCATATTATACAATAGAATGTATAACACGTGCACACGCATCGTCGGTATGGAAAAGCATAGAAGATGGGCTGATTATATGTTAGATATTATATTATATTATATTATATATATATATATATGTATATATATATATATATATATTATATAAATACGTATGTACGTAGATACATACGACGCGTATATACGTTTACTATGAGAAGAGAGAAGAGCGCGTGCTATGTTGAAAATACGTACGAGCTGAAAGGTAACAAACAACATGAAAAATACGAGAGATGTATGTGTAGCGTTTGTAATTACAGTGTCTCTTTATTATGTAACTGTGTATGTGCGCTCTGGAATTATTGTACATCCGCGTCGATGTTCACCGTGTCTTCTCGATCGCCAATTGGTCTTTTTCGAAAAAGATACAGAAAAAATGATACTTGTACACTCCGGTACTTTTTAATATATAAAAGAAAAAAATTCTGCTTACCAGTTTGAGATGGAGATACACGGTGAACATTCGTAAACGGATTCTAAACGCGTAGAAAACCAGCCGATAAGCACACCAACGACTTTTTCGACCAACAGCGACGCGTTTGCCTCGTAAACGATGTCCCCACATATCACTTGGAGAGTTTTAGAGAGGGCGAATTTCGCGATCATCGCTCGCTCTTGCGCGATCGATTCAATCTAACCACTTCCGTTCAATATTCTTCGTCATTCAATTAATTAACATTTATAATTTATTAGAAAGGATCTTGGTGATTTAAAGGAGAATTCGGTGTTCTCCTTCCAAAAGCCAAGATTTTTTATTTTATATATTTTGAATATTTTGAAAAGATGTTCTTTTTCAAAAACTTTCTAATTTTAGTATTCTATATTTGTTCATAAAACGAGGAATACAAAGGGTGTGGCTAGTTGCGCGGACAACAGTATTTTGTTACTTTGCTTTTCATTTTCTATAAACTTTTTAAATTCCTACTCTCTCTCTCTCTCTCTCTTTCTTTTCTATCTTCTCACGTGTATTGACACGCCTCGATTTCACGTTTTTATCCTCTTCGTCTTTCCCTAGCTGATTGGGCATCCGTAATCTATGCGCGAGCAGATTAACCGTTTACAAGATCATGGTTTTATCAATCGCGTAATTTTTAACAATCAAGACTAGTATAATATATATATATATATTTTTTTTTTTATTCATTTGAGACTCACGTTTGAAATTTAGAATATTTTCAATCAAAGTTTCTTGAAAAATTGAAAATTTCCTGTGTTAAATCGTTATTAATCAATGTTTCGTACTTATACTAATTAATTTCGTAGACCAGGCGTGTAAACGGTTATGAAAAGCGAGCGGGACCCCGGTCAAAGAGACTTTTTCGCTATCGAGGCTCGACTTTCGCGTCGCCAATTTTTATACGCCGGTAAATTATACCTATATAATATTATACCTCACCTGTAGACGAGATCGTTCCTGCTCGAGATCGAATAACCGAGCGATACTCTTGTACCTTTTTTCGTCGTCTCGTTAGAATGATCGAAGAGAAGCAAAAGAAAAGAAAAGAAAAAAAAAAAGATAATCGTTCTCTAATCTTCGCCGTCTCTTTCTTCTCTCTGTCTGTCCACTCTTTTTCTTTCTCTTCGTCGAATTTTTGCACGAATCGCGTGCGAGCGAACGATCGGGGAACTCGATCGAGGGAAAGGTAGTTGATTTTCTTTCTTTTTTTTTTTTATATTCTTTGGAAAACGATTGGTGGTGAAACGTGTTCATGGCGCGTGCTCTGTGCCCGGGCTGATCTCATAAAATTAATAAGCATCGTTGTAGTCAGAAGAGATGGATAAGGAATGTGTTCTTTTTTAAGCTTAGAGAGAAAATGGGAGAGCGAGAGAAAGATGGACGAGGAGAGAAGGGTCTTCGTTATTTTTGTTTTTCTCATAAACCCGTTATCCTGGCGCGAGAAAGGATTTCGCGTGAACCGGTCAAGATTTTTCATCTTCTTTCTTTATTTTCTTCTTTTTTAATTGAAAAATCAGCACTGAAAATTGGAGCACCAAGAGGGTTCCTACCTGTTTCTTTTAACTTCATTGTTCTTTTTATATTTGACCAGAGCGATCGCGTCAGGGTTTCGGGTGAAAATTCGACGCCTCGAGCATTCGTGGAGGTGGACGAGAATTCATAGAGAGAGAAAATGAAATTGTTGTAACGATAGAAGCTCGAGCGAGGCGTTTGTTCTACGAAGTACCCATACAAACACGAAAACACATTCATACACATGAAAACATAACACGCGGGGTACGTGTATCGTTTCTTTGTCCTCTTGTTCTTCTTTTTAATAATAATTTTAATTTCGATGATAGATCGACGGGCTTTCACACAAACACAAGCATACAACACACATATATATTATATATTACACAAAAGGTTGAACGTTGTTCTCGACGAAGAAGCGTTCTTCGTCTCGTGCGTGTTCGCTGTTGCGAGCTCGAGCCACCTCCGAGAGTCACAAAAAGAAAATAATGAATGAGAAAGCATCTTGCAAAAGCGTGAAAAGAAATGGAACAACATTTACATGCCACCGCGTCGAGTATGATCGTGTGATAATTACAAGTGATTTGACTAGGCCCTTCCAAATGGATTCAGTCGATTATATATTATTATTGTATTGTCGTGTCAGGAGATGTCGCGGACACGCTCGTCTCAGCTCGAATACGCTCCGATCCGTTTTATCCATTTCCTTTTTCCTCCTCCGTTTCTTATATATCGTGTCTCGTAGCTTTACCGTTATTAAATATCAGAGATATTTCCATATCTAAACCCGGAGAATTCCATTCGCGACTCCGCCTGAAACATCACGATCACGTTGATTCGATTAAGCGACGCGGTCAACGCCTAATCTTATCATGGACCGTGGCGAGACGCCTTATACTCGAAATTCATTCGAGACTCAACGACGGAATTTTCTGGGACAACAGGACAATTAATTTCCTCCTTTTTCCTTGTTTGAATCATCGCTATAATTGATTTTCCTATAATTGATAGTTTTCTATATGGAAATAATTCTTCTGAGCGATTCGAGCTGGTATCAGCGTGACGCGTTTACGTGGAGGGTCGTATGTGATGTGATTTCTTTTATATCATAACGAATGATGAACACTCTAAGAAATGTTATAGTTTCATATAAGTGATATGTTATTTGTCATTTATTTTATCCCTTAATAAATGATGTTATATAAAAAAAAAGTGTAACGAAGTTACAGTGTGTGGATTAATTAAGTTCTCCTGAAATTGAAATCATTAGGGGATTGTAGGCGTGTAGTGGAAAGGGAAAAGGGTGGACGCCCTCAGTTCGGGTCGGTGACCGCCAGGTGGCCGTTCTTTTGGATCTCTTCTCTCGTTGGCGGTCCCCCGATAGGGAAAAGTTGTTCAGAATAGTGACCATGACAACATATTTCAAGGTCATCAAAATCGGCGAGGTCGTCAATCATCTGCATAATTACCTTCGGATTTTCGTGAACTATCCAACGGTATAGAGGTCTTCAGGGAATTTTTTAACACTCTGTATATGAATTCCGAAAAGGGGGGTTGTTAGCGTCTGGGGGCAGGGATCGTCTGTCGTCAGCCCCACTGACGAGTCTGGCAGACGATCCCGAGACAAAACGTCTTTTTCTGTTCCTACAGGATGGATAAATGAAAGTACTCATAATTATCCGTCTTCTCGTTTTACGTTTATTCGCCGTCTATCTGCATACACACGTGAAATGACACCAAACGTCTACTTTGTTGTACTCGTTTAACGCTAAACAATTTTTACTCGCTTGTCTCGTCGCTTTACCTTAAATTACTCTCGGATAGGATCGTCTACGTTCGCGCGTGCCACCGCGGGTATTTACAAGAGAAATAACGTTATCAGTGTCGATGATCTTTTACAGGTGAAATCTTTACGTGAAAATTGGGTAGAAATTGTAGAGAGAGAAATGTTGAAAATCGTCTCGAGTACTCCACCACGCGTGAAACGAAACGTACGAGATAAATTCATGGTGAAAATCTATCGTCCAGCATTCTTGGTCCGCAGAGGATGAAAGGAAAAATCTTGTAAAAGCCTGATTTTCTCCTACAATTTTCAGCTGGACGATTCATTTTTCACTGATCGATCGAAAGGCCGAAAATAAACTGAGCGCGTTTCTTCATCGATGCTTCTATTTTAGTTTTTATTTTTATCAAACGATACGCAGCGGTCGATTCACGTCGTGGTTCTACCTATAGCATTCTCGATATAGTTGATTAATCGAGGCCAGCTCCGTACGATCGGTCGGAACACGATTTTCTCGAGCCGTTGTTTGCCTCTGTATAACAAATACCTCGATATTTCTACGCGACAGAAGTGAGAAATTGCGGTGTAGAGAGGAAGCTTTTCCCGGCGGAAAAATTCCTTCTCGTCACGGGACACGCGTTTCTTGGTGATCGATCGTACCGTTGTTATCCGACGTGTGCGAACAATCGTCGGTGCAGCCTCTACGGTGGAAATTTGAAGAGAGAAGCCACGAAACGGCTAAAAAAAAAAAACGAAAAAAAAACCGGTAAAGTCAATTCGTCGTGAAACGAGAGCATCTCTGTTCGTCGAATCGACGAGTCGTGAAGAAATTGTGCAACGTCCGTTCGACTATGTTTGCGTGACACACGCGGCGGGACCTCTACTTCGATCTCTAGAAAAATGAAAAGAAAAATTGGGGAACGAACTCTTTCCGTGATCCGTTCGTCCGGTGCCACTTGATGCGTTTTGTACTTGCTTCTCCGGTATATCTTCCTTTCTTTTGGTATTTAGCTCGTTCTCGCGTTTTACGTTATCTAAGTGATCACGAAGACGTGCAGAGAATCGTGATTAATTTCCATCGTATTCGTGCGATGATGGTGGCGTGTGATGATGCATGTGGATGTGTGGCGGCAGTTCGACCGTGGGGACACCCAGGCTGCTTCTCTGCAAATCGAAAAAAAAAAAAAAAAAAAAAGAAATTTACGAGTATGAACTTTGAAGACAGAAGAAAAGTCCTGATGGACTTGTTACCTGGGATCTCATGCCGTTCAAGGGGGTGGCAGTGGGGTTATCCGGCGGATAGCCGAGCACGTGGCTCGAGCACTTCTCGCAGGCGCGTCGGCGTCTCGAGGACGCGTGGCATCGCAACGCTCGGCACAATTCTCGCGCCATTTCCGAGCACAAGGATTCTTGTTGTTGATTTTGCTGCTGTTGCTGCTGCTGTGTTTGCTGTTGCTGCTGCACGGACTGCGAGATCCCCTGCAGGGATTCCGAGCAGACTGGAGTCGATACGGGAGCTCTCTATATTTCAATCGCACCAAGATTATATATAGATCGAACAGTCGATGGTTAATTGATCGAGCAGCAATTAGAACCAGATGTCTGAGACTCGAAGGAAATATACGATTAAAAGCTAGTCGAACGAAACTTCGTTCGCCAGTAGGTGTGCGGTATAAAAAGAAAAAAGTCAGCTCAATTAAAAGCGAACAGTGGAATTAGTAGAAAGAGTCTAATTTAAAAAAGGAGATATAGGAAGGAGAAAATTAAATGAAACGGGGGAAATGTTGTTTGAAAAAAAACGGACCTTGGTTCACGACTGAGCTTCGTGCGTTTGCAGTCGGCCGGCATGCTTCAGTGGAGGATGAGCTCATGCTGCGTCGCAAAAATAGCCGTTACGTCGGTCGGAATGGAACACAAAAATTGAGAAAAATTTCATGCAACCCTGTGTGCGTGTGTGTGTACGTGTGTTTTTAAAGCTCATGCGTGGCTGGGTTCGTTCGCCTGGAAAAAAAAGCTCGTTTCTTTGACGACGGTCAGACGGTTAAATCGTCTGGAAAGCGGCAGGATTCGCAGGATCACCGGTTACGCGATCGCGATCGAGGATACGGATTCACTCTGACGTTTCCCATTCCGAGCTTTCTAACGGCACCAGGCGTAGACTCACCCGTTCCGCCGGCGTGTTCCTCCTCGAATTGTAGCAGAACTCGAATATCGCGATCAGCACCGCGAACGCGAGACCGCACAGCAACACGACGAATACTCCACCTAGAAGACAGCAGAAAACGCTTACTTTCCAGCAAATGTAAAAATTCATGGGTCCTGATTGCGTGGCCAGGACATTGTTTAATGGTAATTCTCTTCGATAACCAATTAAAAAGGTTACGGAAGATCGCAGTGAAGGGAGTTGCATGAAAAAGGGATTAAAACAAAGGAGAGATGAATTAAAAATATTCAGGGTGTGATTTTTAATTAAATTTAATTTGACGACCAACTTCCAAATTGAACCTGTTAGATTTCGTCGATTCATCTCGCAAGATTACCTATGTTATCCACTCCCAAAGAGTTCGCCTTGCTCTCTTTTCCTTTCTCCGTTCTCATACAAGTGTCACCGGGACTCTTCCACCATTTATCATACAGCATTTGAATTTCACCCTTCTCTTGGAGCTCCAAAATTGCCAATGATATCTTATCGCGCCACGGAGAACCTGAAGTACCAAATAGATATTTCATCATCGGTTCGATTAATTATCAAACGTTTATCTTCTACAGGCATACCCATAGGCGTAGCGATCCCGTATCCTTTGCTATCCAAAAGTCCACCGATCTGAGTAAGATTGCAATCCCTTTGCACGATGTAATCTAGCATAGTCGATTCCATGAGGAAAGCGTAGTCACCTTGAAGGACTCTTTGAATTCCTTCTTCATAGGTCGGCACGAACACAGATGGTTTCTTATTCTCCATGAATCGCCACATTTTCTTATACGTCTCGATCATGGAATCCTTTAAAGAACAAAGTTCATCAAACTGATACATTTATGTGAAATAGAAAAATGATTAAATAAATGTATTATAAAGTTACCCTGAAGAAAGTCATGGTGCTTCCGCTATCTAAAGTTCCATACGCGATATCCGTTTGACCAGCAAGATCCTCAGCATTTTCGATAGGTGTTATCATACGTTCCACCGTAAGGAAGGCTGCCAGGTTCGCGGTGTACGATGAGATAATAATAAGGGTGAAGAACCACCAGATACCACCCACGATTCGCGTGCTTGTTGCCTGATACAATAAAAAAGAAAATGATATTTCGTAATGAATTAAAATGTGATCTACTTACCTTAGGGTTCAGGTCACTTCCCTGTTGCATCAGGGTGCCTATCGTGAACCAGAAGCTGTTGGCCAGCGAGAATTGATTCTCCACCACTTCAGAATCCGCGTGGCATGGATGAGGGTTGTTCCATTCGTAGGGACTGAATCTTGCGACTACGAACATCGTCACCGAAACAAGAACGTACGCTGCCAGTACGTACAGCCAAATTTCAATGGCTAAGGGGTTCATGAAGGAGAACAGCCGAGCTGGGTGACTAGTTGGTACCTAGAATTTTTATTGTCATTCGATAAAATCGCGATAACCCCCCTTTATGAGCGTATTCAATAAGTTAAAAAAGTAGTTAAAATAAGTTAAATGTATATATGTTTAACAGAGAGATCCGCACCCCTCGAGGGTTGCGACAGAACTGGATAAATTATACGTCGCTCTAGGTCGAACGAATAATAGAAGACTTGTCGACAACAGAGGCATGTCCAGTTCTGTCGGATCTGTAGTCAGTGATCTGCATTTTCCAAGCCCATCGGCATCGAACGCGATAGTATCGACATCCATTTTGATTTCAATTAAACTTGTAAGCCGCATTTCCACGAGACTCGCTTCATAACGCCCCTGTAAATTCTGGCTAACAGGAGGGTTCATTATCGATCAGACACGCGTGTGTACATGCACACCTGTGTACGAGAGGGCCGATTGCGAGTTCTAAATTAAAGAGCATGATACGTTTCCTATCTGGCTTTAATATAGACACAATTATTAAATACCTCGAGAAAAAAATAATATAATATTAATAACGAATTTAAGGTAAACTTTCAATGGTGAAAAAGTGACCTTACTCTTTCTACGTTTAGGTAATAATTGAAAAAAGAGAATCACGTGTTTCAATCAGTAGAACAACCTATCGGAAGGAAGATTCAATTTCGAATTCTCGTCCAGCAATTCCGATTCATTTCACGGAAATTTGCATCTCGTTACAGAGACAATTCTATAATTGCACTTGCAGCTACCATTTCAAACTTCCTCCATTCGATGAACTCCTGCTCGAGCTCGCTTTGTTCAAGAGATTCGATGAGGCGGTAGTTATCCTCGCGAGCCTCCGATC